AAAAGGCAACTAAGTGTTCAATGTGACAATTTATTTAGGACACGTTAGCTTTTGGAATAATGTACGGTAGACATGTGTCCTTCTTGCAATGTTTAGAACATGCATGAGTTGCAAGAAATACTGGTAGCCAATATAAACATTATAGACACTCTATCAAAAATGTTGTTTGAATCAGTATTTTGCCAGATTTATCGTTTGTTGTAATTCATCAGACTCAGGCCAGATCATTTTATTCCTATTAAGTTTACATATATCTATATAAAAATATGTTTCAAAGAAACCACAAAATCTATTAGATTTTACATAAATAATCTGCTATATGCATATCTAAACTCTGATTTACCTAGAATGCTAAAAGTTAAACTCAATGCCTTTCACACATAATAATCTACTTCTGCCCTTAAAAGTGACCAGAGAATGTTTCATTGTATTTTTATCATTTCTGTTTTACTTTTAAATAAGCAAGTCATCTTTGAAATTCTTGTTGTTTTTATTATGTCATGTAATATTTCAAATGAAGACATGAATAGCATGGATAAGCCTGTCCGCCTGCTTCTGCAGATGCTAATGTAAAAGAAAATGTTCATAAGCGCTATTCGTGCACAAAAGTTTAAAGTATATATTAATTTTAAATCGGTTATTCTGCGTCTTGTTATCACTATTCCGTTAAATGAAACCATTGCTTATGCGATGCTTTCCGCGTGCTTGTGTGACGTCATTTGATAATTGAACTGCATGGGCAGCCATTGCATTAAGGTATTTTTACATAACGGCTTGAGACACATAAATTAAAAAAATGCGCGTGATCAGGGGGATATGTCCGTTAATTTTCTCCTTCGTTAATGTATTTTTTTTGTAGAATAGCAATTTAGATTAGGAAATAATCTTAATTTTTGAAATTCTAGCGTTGTTACATTTTGATAATATTATAATTGAAAAAAAAAACAATAACAAAAAAACAAATAATTAAGGTTGCATTTTATTAATGTAACAATATTTCGCCGTAGGCCTGAAAACAACCATTTTACAGTTTCATTAATCTTTTTTATAGTATGGTTGTAAATATAATCAAATGTTGTTGTTAAGGAATGATGATTTTCCAAAGGAAAACCCAACGATAAAACTAATGCTCGTATACTTATTTAGACATGAAACGGAAGTCTTTAAATAGCCATTTTCTGATGATTCATTGTACTCTTATGCGGTCAGGCAATAAAAACGTCAGTGTTAGACTTATAGTTGTTATCTTGAACACGGCGACTGCTCGAATACGAGTGTGGAAACAAACTGTTACCATTATTCATTGTCCGGTGTACTCGGCATGTCGAGTATAATAACATCCGTTACATAATGCGGACGAATACTGATTTATTCGAAATGCCATTTTTAAAACCCATTTTGAAAATGGTTGTTTTTTTTTTTTTTTGTTTTTTTTTTAAAAAAGGTGATGATTTTTTCTATTCTTAATAATAAATATATTGTACTGTTGTTTTAAGCTGTTTAAGGTATTACCATCCTAATGCATTTACCTTTGAAGAGTATTCAAACAGGCTAGAACTACTTTTAACTACATTGAAAATGAGGGTTGTGGGTTCAATCCCCAGAAGTGTCAAATTTTTTTCTTTCTTTTTTTTTTCTTTAACATTATTTATGTATCTCTCATGTCCCATTTGGAAAGAAAAACATGTTAAATTTTGATTTTTTAATTTATATAGGTATTTATTGGCTAAATTATGCTAAATCTAGTAATAAATATGGTACCTGATATTTTCAAAGTGTAATAAAATCAAAACTAGACGGTAAAAGTATTTCATATTTTACAAGATCAACCAATATACTTCTTTAAAAATTTAGGGAAACTTTGAAAGCAGGCACTCATTTGAGTAAAGTTTAAGGGTTTTTTTTATTTAGGCTCCCTAAGTAGGAAAATGGTCAGACACATGGTAAAATGGGTGGGGTAGGGTAACAGTTTTATACAGATTTCATAAATTTTTAGTAGAAACCATAATTTTGCTTATATGGATTGTTAGCTGAATGGTACTTTATGTTTCTTACCAAAAAAAAATGGGATCACATTTTTCATTAGAATGTTATTGCAGATTATTTGAAGGTTCCTCATTTCTAAAAAGGGCCCTCATAGCATTCTAGCTTGAGTTCAGAAAAGTGGCCATTACTTGATTTCCGTACGGTAAACTGTGTTTAAATTGTACATACAGGTATACTTTAAGGTATATATCTGACCTATGATGTCAATTTTTAGTTCCTTATAGTGCCAATTAGGGTCGTAATACCTTAAGGCTTTCCTACTCTAATAATCTTCGTCTTTTTACGCCTTATTTCGTACATGGTCGGGATTCCGCGCTTTTCTGAGTACCGGCGTAAACTAGATATGATCGGTCCCGACTCCGCTGTATTAAAGACGTAAATATCGAGAACCAGGCAATAGCCTCGTTTTCAAATATGGAACATGGCTGCGCCCGTAAGAGACAAGTACGGACAATTTTTCAAGTTAAAACGGGGTGTTAGTGATAAATTACGGACTAATAGGAATATTATAGAAGAACACAACTACGTTGTGGGTAATCCGAACACTTCAGGTGACATCAATATTCCAGGAATATCGGAACAAAGGAAAACAAACAAATTTTTCAACAACAAGTGGAGAGAAGGTAGACGTGTTGTTGAATTTGGTGTTTTATTGGATAACCTGAAGTTATGTAAAGAATGTCGGTTAGGGCCTGTGCCTCTTACCGCATATAATGTAATTTCATTGAGTAACCCTTTCATATACTTGTTACGTGCCAGGCGCAACTAGAACAATTGAATTGGGTGTCACGGAATGAAATTCACCTTTATGCATTTGGAATATTTCATTAAGATTGAATTATTCTATATTTTTTGCATACTAATAAAGTATATAAACGAAGCTGTAAATTCAAGAATTTGATGTCACTTTTTCAAACATCACATGTATAGAGTTTGTACATTAAAGTGTTTACAGATATACATGTATAGTTGCCATCTGTTTAAAAATTTATGTTTTAATTGAGAGAAGAACAACTTTAAAATACCTTTCACAAAAGAAATATGTGCTTATTGTACCCTAAGATCGCATAGTATTTACATGAAATGTTCAAACTCTACTTACTTTAAATTACAACATCGTTTCCTGTTAACGTACAACATTCATCAGAGTAAAATACGTAGACACTCTAACATACAGCTCTTCCGAGAATGGACCATAAGAATTTCGGTATTTCATCATGATTAAAATTTGTATTTCGTTTGTAGATACAAAACAGAAGATACTGTATAACTTAATTCCTTTTTAAAATTCGCTATTTATTAGAGACTTATAATACATTGTGTCTATGTATGACTATTTTTGATGAGAATTTGTATCACTTTTGTTTATTGACATAGAATTGTGTTGTTTTTCTTCTTTAATTGTATAGGTTTTAGATTAAAATAATTTGTATTTGAATGAATTTCTTTATATTTTTATAGGTTGTGTTTTTGCCCTTCTTTATCTTGTTTTTTTATCTATGCTATCTAAGAGGGGGGTGGTATTATCATTTAAACTTTGCCTTTTCGGAATATACTTGAAATGCGTGGATCGTTTGAAGTTTAAATGATTTTTGTATTTTCTGATTGCAAGATCAGTAAATACATAGCTAACATCCACGGTCTAACACAAAATTTCCTAACAGACCTAACAACGCAAAGTAGTTCTCACTCAAAACTGCTTAAAAACCAGCAATTTAAAAGACAGAATAATTTTTAATGTATGCATTTAACGAATTACAGTGCATTGAAAGTTCAGATTAGTCAATAGAAATATGAGGTTACAATCACAAATTTCGCGGATGAATATCATTTTAATCAATGAAAATGCTATCTTTAGCTATGTCGATTACTGAATTCTCCAGGGCGTAGTATACAAATAAATCTGACTGCCGAGTAGTGGAATATATACATACTGTTTTGGCGAGAAGATTTTCGCTTAATTATTTTTATCAGTGTTAAACAGGTTTATCGTGAACAAAATACCTCGAAATTGATAAGGATTACAAACACGAAATGGAAATTCTCAATTTAGAATTACAATGTATTTGATTTTATTCAGGCTACATATTACGTATTACTTCACCGTGGTGCAGGGGTATCGCGCTCGTATCGCGCTCGTTTAGAGTGTGAGAGGCCTAATGTTCAAATCCTAGTCGAGGCAACTTTTTTTTGAAGTGTATTTTTTAAGGAAGTAGCCACGATATGCAAGGATAAAGTGTGGCTGTCATAAAAATGATTTTTATGTATCAATCTCAAACTGTTACATAAAAAAATCTTAACGCAGTCGCTGCGTAAGATGAATTATAGTATATAAAATAAACCTATATAGGAAAAAACATACAGATAGTCAGTATGATTTAGATTGCAAAGATCAGAAAATACCACAGAGCTTGCAGCCCTTTGATTGTTATTATGTTCTAATACTTATAAAAGAGGTTGAGCACAAATATAATTTACCTTTATTCTCAACGTCAGATAAACTATAGAATAATTAAAGTCATATATTTCAAAAGATTGTAATTATTTGCCGGCAGAACAATGATTGATCATTAAAATTCATGCTATGAGACAAAAATACCTATATTATATAAAGACTGTCCCCTTCTTTGAAAAAAATTAAACTTTTCCAATCCATTCTGAACGATATTTTTATAAATAGTATCGTTACTCACTTAGAGCATTTCTTTTTTTTTCATAGTAAAGTATAAAACTGAATACAGTCATGGCAAAATGTCATGTTTTTTTTGTATCTGCTCCCTGACTGTTTACACTTGGATAAACATAGTGCCACTTTATTTATTATTGTAATTGTCAATTACCTTTATTTTAAATTAGAAGGATAGAACAATGACTTATGATTAACCCCCATCCATTCTATAGCTCTAAACGAGTTGAAATAAGCTTACTATCATAAAAAGCATATGGCCACTTACCTTTTACTGTATAAACATTACTTGAGTTTACTACCCATTTTAAATTGGTCGGTGTATGAGTCAATACAACTCTGAAGGTTACATTTTTTTTTTCATTTCCAGATGCCTCTATGTGATAAAACCCACATGTCTTTTTAGCATTTCCGTCATCGTTGCAATTTGTACATGATTTGTCGTACGTGTCGAAAGCTGATTGACCATATGTATATTTTTCTTGGACTTCATTCTGAAATATGGAACATATATTTTGAATTAAAAAGTACTTTCTGACATAAATTTGTAAGGAAAATCACTATTTTTGAATCCAGTTTGTTGATTGTGTAAAGTATTTATCCAGGAAAACAACACTTGTTTAAAGTAGGGATGTCATCTGGAGCCGAAACGGCCATCCGGATATCCAAATCAGACATCCGGATACATCTTATATTCTTAGTTGGCTGATATGACGTAACCATTTTTTCGCGACCTTTTACAAAGTGTAGTATTTCGTTTCACTTCCTTTTTAATTGAATGTTACATTTAAAAAAAAATTCTGTATTGATTTTATTTTTTTTCTATGTAGAATATGGCTGTTATCGATAAATTAAGTGCGTATGATACTTACGATTTCAAATGAAATGAAAATGAAATTCATCGCCGATTGTCTCAATTCCTCAATTAGTGCTATAATACACAATAACACGTGCTCGCATTTGTGAAAACAAAATAACACCCGTAAAATATAAAAAGTTTCCATTGTTCAATAACACGCATACAATGTACACACGATGACCTTTGACAGGTGTGTAGCCGGCTTTTCTAAAGAATCTGCCAATCTTTGATGTTTACCAATGTGTACCCCTGGCTGTTTGATTCGAATCATTAAAGAAGTTGCCGAAACTTACATGAATTACACACATGTTAAGTGTTCATAAGTGAAAAAAATGCACATGTTTGATTAATACTAAAGGAGAAAGTTTTTTTGTCGGATAATTATCGTATCAATTTCAATAAAAGCTGTGATAATTAAGACATTATTATTCGTAAATGCATTTCTTGATTTGCTTATTTTATTTCTGCAGATTTTTCATTTTCTCAAAATAAGAAGTCGACGGGTCGGTAAGCCGAAATATATGTAAAAAAGATAGCCCATTTAAATATTTAAATTTGGACATCATAAAATGTAACATCGTTGCCGATGACAATCGCACGGGACGTAGAATATTCATCTTGAATCCTACAAAACTTAAATTTGTTTGGTGTTTAATATAGATAAACAAAAAGTGTCATACCCGACTCGTTCGGATATCCGGACTCCGAATGACATCCGTAGTTTAAAGTATGATATTTGGAGAATATACTTTTATTTGCTAACATTTTTTTTGCTATCTAGTTTATCAAATGATATACTGACTATGTGTAGGGCGAATAATCTCTACATCTCTGGAAAAAAACACTTTCATAAGCAGTTCGTATTGATTTGATAGATTGAATACTTTATTGATTACAGACAATCATGGGACGTCCGTGGCCGAGTGGTAAAATTCGTTGACTTCAAACCACTTGCCCCTCACCGCAGGGTTCGAATCCTGACAGGGACTTTGGATTCTTTCATGTGAGGAAGCTATCCAGCTAGCTTACGGAACGTCGGTGGTTCTACTCAGGTGCCCGTTCGTGCCTGAAATAATGCACGGAAGGACACCTGAGGTCTTCCTCCACCAGTAAAGCTGGAACGTCGCGATATGACCTATACTGTGTCGATGTGACGTAAAACCCAAATAAAACAAACAGGCAATCATTAATTTGCTTTTGGGTTTTATGCTTCATATGTATTCTATGTAAAAAACATTTGTGCTGCGTTTGTAAAGACTCTAGTACCTTTGTAGAAGAGGATTTATTTGTTTATCGAGAAAGTTCAGGGCCTCAACGGGGAATGAAGCCTACTAAACAATATTTCAAGCGAAGTTTCTAAGCTCTAGGCCTTGCACTTTTTCAAAAAATACGTAAGATATTTTCTTGTGGTTGCTATGGCAATCAGATTTCTGCACGGAATAAAATTGTCTGAACATTTTTGGAACATCCATAAATAAGCAATGTATGCTGAGGTGAGCTAAAAGGTTTTATTTTTCAAAAACAAAAATAATGAAACTGATTCCATTTGGTCTTCATTAAGGCCTGTCATCCTAACGTTGACGGGCGATTGTTTCGAGCATCGAGAAGTAAGATTTCGTACTTAAATCAAAATTACAGAATGCTAGCAATGCTACTTGGGTTAAAGCAAACCGTGACGATACCATTTTGCAGGATATTGTGTGGCTTATTTGACTCAAAAAGATCGAAATTATCATTTCTATGTTAAGATTTAACGGGTATATAAAAGTCCAACGTTTTATTATTTAGTAAACCTTTGCACCTTCCATGTTTTAGACACCTGATTATAGATGAACTTACATATAAATGTAAAATGAATGTGCAGAAACTTAATTAGAAACCAAAACTCAACGGCCATTTATCTTAAAGTATAAGCAGTTATCGGATATTTTAACTTCAAAACATAAGCCAACCCAAACCACAGTGATTACAAAGATGATAAAAGTGCTGATATTTCCTCTTGCATTTTGTATAACGTCGCAATTACAAAGATTTCGGGATATATTCCTTTCGTTTATTTTTTTTTTTTTTGAAGCCATGCAAGATGGATGAATGCCAACAAAAACTATTGTCCGCAATGGCTGATAGACATGACCGACACGTTTGTTGAATTTATTTTATAACACGAGAATAAACATGTAATAAAAGGCTTTTTTTTCTTTTTCATATTCATTAACCTTATGCCCTGTTGAACGTTTGACTGGCTTTGTTAGAAATAAAGTGTTTTTTTTCCTTTTTTTTTTTTGTTATTCATTTCTTGATTGTTAACATTTAAAAAAAATAAATTAAAGTGGAACATCAACGTAATCTTTTCCTGTGAATATTACATAAGCTAATATTATCAAGTAATACATGTTATATCACCATTTACAGAATAATATAAATATATAAGTAGAATGTAGTTAATTATAAACAATTTTAATTATAAACAATGTTTTAGAAGACATTTTTAGAAGTCTAAGAATCTGACAAAGAAATAAGCAAATGTATATATGTACATAATTATTAATGTGCCTCTATTGTGCCAGGTCAAGGTCACACGTGGACAAATGTCAGACACTACATGCATTACAATGAAGGTCTATAATACATCTAAAATAAATTCCTTTAGGCTTGGCGTAAAGTTCTGACAACTTACGTAAACGGTATACCACTCGCACGTCACGTCCGTATATCCGGAAATACAGCCAGTTGTTATCGAAATGTTACCGTTAGAATGGCTTAAAGTTGGCTCTAAAATCGATTTAGAATTTAATGGATCAAAGTCTGAAATTTATGATGATATTTGTTAGTTAATTAAACGATTTAAACATCTGATATTAGTCAGCAAGTAGCGATCGAATTCAAATAAAATATTATATGCTATAAATGTTTTTTTTAATAATTGTTATTATGTAATTACTTTGATGCAACCTTTTCACGTCATGAAAAGATATAATGGTAGATATCGATGGCTGAACGCAACACCTGTCTAACTTGATTTTTACAAAATTTTAAGGAGGCTATAAAAACTTCATTAATTCTATAAATAAGACATTTTTTGTTATTATTTTTAAATTTTTATATCCATATATGTTGAATTTTTAGTTAAAAGGAGTTTCATATATTAATATTGTTAAATAAAAAAGATATTTGAAAAGATATGAATTAGATCAGTTTTCCATTTATAAATCACCAAATTTCAATGATAAATATTCAGCAAAACTGGTCTAACTTGACTTAGCCCTATGTTGCATTTACAAAATGGGTTCAATAAGGCCAAAAGACTAAACAACTAAAACTATCGCTGAATGCGATTCATACCCGCACCAATGTCTTAGACAGAAGATGATAAGGGGATAATTTTAGTGGCACAAATACATATACATAATAAGAAATTATCTCTGCTGAAAAAAAGACTAATTGTACTGTTACTAGTATAAATATATATTGTTAAATCATGTTCGAAACATTTACACATAACCTTTCATTTTCCAAATTACTAAACATATTCTAAGTCAATTTTTGACCTTAAATGTGGCCTTGACCTTAAGCTGGCACAAGGGTAAGATGGGTTCTGCACATTGCCCAGTTGGGGTGAACATTTGAGTAAAGTTTGAAGATAATCCTTCCATTAGTATAGAATTTATAGAGCGGCCACGACATATTGTCTAGTATTGATTGTATGTAATTTTAAGGACTTAATTGGGGCATAACTTTGTCAAAATGCAATACAGAGTTATGAAACTTGACCTGCATATCTTATTTGTGACACCTCATATATCTCTAAAGTTTCTAGCCAATACCTCTGCTAGTTTCAGAAATATTCAAGTACATGTTAACATTTTAGAGTATTTTCCAAGTCAATTTTTGACCTTCAAGTGTTTCCTTGACCTTTAGCCGGCACAAAGGTAAAATAGATTCTGCACATAACCTTGTTGAGGTGAACATTTGAGTAAAGTTTGAAGAAAATTCTTCCATTAGTATATGATTTATAGAGCGGACACGACATATTGTCTAATATTTGATTGTATGTAAATTTGAAGACTTAAAAAGAGGCATTACTTTGTTAAAATGCAATACAGAGTTAGGAAACTTGACCAGCATATCTTGATTGTGACATTTCATATATGTTTTAAGTTTCAAGCAAATACCTATTCCAGTTTCAGAAATAATCAAATACATGTTAAAATTGAAGAATATTTTCTAAGTCAATATTTCAAGTGTGACCTTTACCTTATGTCGACAAAAAGATGACAATGGTTCTGCACACCCCCTTGTTGAGGTGAACATTTGAGCCAAGTTTGAAGAAAATCTTTCAATTAGTGTAGGAATTACAAAGCGGTCACGACATACTGTCTAATATTTGATTGTTTGATATTTGACCTTCAATTGTGACCTTGACTTTGAGCTGACACATGGGCAACATGGGTTCTGATTATCCCCTTGTGGAGGTAAACATTTGAGCCAAGTTTGAAGAAAATATTTCAATTAGTGTAGGAATTACAGAGCGGACACGACATACCGTCTAATATTTGTTTGTTTGATATTTGACCATCAATAGTGACCTTGACCTTGAGCTGACACATAAGCAACACGAGTTCTGCACATCATCTTGTTGACGTGAACATTTGAGCAAAGTTTGAAGAAAATCCTTCCATTGGTATAAGTTTTATAGAGCGGACACGAAAATGGAGACGGACCGACCGACCGACGGACTGACCGACGGACTGATCGACGGACGCGACAAAGCGAATCCATTTTAGCCCCCCCCCCCCCACACACACACATTTTGTGATGGAGTATAATAAGTGCTAAGGTTGAAAACAAAGATGATATAATAAGAAAAAACTGTAACTATAACCATACCTTAGTATGTTTTTTTAAAAAACTTTTCTAAGGAAACCGACATCTTAATTTATACACAATTTACAACTATTTGCATAACATACTAGAAATCAGACAATCATAAAAGTCAGTTGTTTTATCACATAATTTAAAAAAAAAATCTAATTATAAAGTTTCAGTTCGGAATGAATGTTTTGTAGACAAGATTTTTTTAAATAAAGCTTTTATTCAATGTAACATCAAAATTGAAGCACATACTCATAACTGAAAAATAGAAGCATGTATAGAAAACTCGCAATTCTAAAAACACAGGCAATATTATTCAATATGGACCTAATTTTTGCCTTTTGGATCTTCATTTATATTTTCAAGTTTATTTATGTAGTCAGAATTTCAAGAAAAATGTTAACTTTAGGAACATTTTGCATAAACCAAGGTTATCTCTCCAAGTCGCCAAAGAAAATTTTTTGCCTCTCTTTGTAATTAAACTTGGCATGGCACTTGTATCTATAGCTTTGTCCACCTTCCTTTGTCATCATCCGTTATACTAATTTGTTTGTCAGATTTTTAAACATAAGTTTTTTCCCGTATTCCTATTACAGTTATTCATTACATTTCTCTTTTATCTATTATCATTCTTACTTTTTTATCTAATATTTCCCCATTTAATAACTATTTTCTATAGTACATAAACTATCATTTAACCATTCTCTACTTGCAAGCACTCATCACCAGCATAATGATATCAACGCTCATTTCATCTTCAAAATGATCAACAGCATTTTTATCACGATCATCATCCTCGGCTTTTATATAAACAGCATTGCCTCCACTAGCCCTTTTTAACCAACATTACTATTCTGAGTACTCATCTCAACACCATTATCTTCCTCAACACGTATATAAGCAGCATTGCCATCAACTTAGATCGCATTACATCAGTATTGTCATCAATCACACTTTTATCACCAGCATTGTCATCCTCAGCATATTCCCCTCTAACTATAATTATAATATCACCAATATTGTCCCCATAACCCTTATAATACCAACATAATGTTCTCACTATCAACTATAATACCACCAGTATTGTCCCAACAAACCCTTACAATACTTTTAATATCACGAACAATTTGTCCCCACTTAAACACTCATATTACCAGCATTGTCTCCACTATGATATCACAAGCAAGTAGTTATGATATATCTAGAACTGTCCCCACTAACTATAATATAATCAGCATTGTCCCAACTAACCCGCATATCACCAGCATTGTCCCAATGTACTATGATACCACCAGCATTGTCCCCAGTTACAATGATATCACCAGCGTTGTCCCCAGTTACTATGATATCACCAGCATTGTCCCAACTAAGCCTCATATCACCAGCAGTGTCCTCATTTACTATGATATCACCAGCATTGTCCCCAGTTACTATGATATCACCAGCATTGTCCCCAGTTACTATGATATCACCAGCATTGTCCCAACTAAGCCTCACATCACCAGCTTTGTCCTCATTTACTATGATATCACCAGCATTATCCCCATTTACTATGATATCACAAGCATTGTCACAACTAACCCTCATATCACCAGCATTGTCCCCATTTACTATGATATCACCAGCATTGTCACATCTATGATTTTACAAGCATTGTCTCCACTATTACCCTCTTTATCAGCATTGGTCCCACTAAATAATATATATCACCAGCATTGTCCCCACTTTTTTCTTTCACATTTCTTTTCTTGTTGGGTTTTATCTCGCACTTACACAGTAGAGGTCGTATGGCAATAATCCAGCTTTCCCAGTGGAGAAAGACCTCAAGTACCTAAGTTCTGTTGCTTTATGTTTGTAACATCCGAGGTTAGCTTATAAGGAATTTACTTAGCCTGTAAGGAATTTACACCGGAATGTACAGACCGGAATATCTAACTTGAGGGTAATTTTTATAGTGGTAAAGAGACACTGCCGAGTTTCCGTTACACAGTTAATCAAGAGCTAGATATTCCTGTATGTGACAATAGCTTGTTTTTGATTTTTTTTTGGCATATTACATATTGGTGATATTTCATAAAGAAATTACGATAACTAATATTTTCATTTAGCACTTTTCTCGTATAGTAGCGTTTTACTTAACAACTTCATTTGTAATGGCAAAATGATGACATCTTTAAAACACAATTCATTCATAAAAGGCGCTTGAGAATGACATCATTTAAAAAAAATTGACTTGTCTTACATGGGGGATGTAAGACAGGTTTTTTTCTAGCACCGATGTAAGCAGTAAATAACCTTTTCTGATATGCAAGAAAAAATCTTTCCTGTTTAAGCAACATAGGACCTCAAGTGTATTGGTGTGCTCTAAAACCAAACAAACCAAAAATTTTATTTAAATGATTTCAAGCCTTATACATACAGATACTTAAAGAAATTTTACTGAGGTTCAAAAGCATAAAAACTTAAATTTGAATTTCTGAAATGAATCAACTCGGGCCACATAAACAAAAAGATACAAAGTGATATAAAGAAATTATACTTTACCTGAAATTGAAAATTTTATCATGGTTCTATTAGTATCTAATTTGAGTTTAAAGCTGCATTAATATGCTTTTCAATATCCGGTCACAAAATTGCTCTGGAAAAAACTTGATAATCTGAAAGTTTTAACACCACAAGGTATTTGTCCAGACCTTCATCAAATTGTACATACATCTCGAAAATATATTTTCACTCCCATGACGCCAAAATTGGAGAAGAAGCAAATTGTATTAAATAATGATAAAATCTTGAATTTTTTAGAGGGTGGGATATATTGTTTGATGGTTAATTTGCTATTATTTTTTATTTCAATCTTATATGATGTAGAGATAATATAACAATTTTAAACTTTTTAACTTTTTAAATGTTCCTTGAAAACAAAATAGAACTAGTTAAGAGGCTTGGATTTACTATTCTGCAATTTTGGTAAAAAGGTAGGTAAAATGTAAAAATAAGTATTTATAGTAGTTCTAACTTGAGTTAGCTCTCTGTAGCATTTAAGTTATGATAGAGCAAAATGCAAAAGTGATAAATAAAACCCATACAATTTCACAATAATTTCTAACATTTTATTTACTGATGTATTTCATGCAATTATGCTAGAAATGCAAAGAAACGTTGTTTTAAAAAAAAAACCAAGTTAGACCAGTGTTGCGTTCAGCCATCGATATATGAAAAAAATAACACTGAATGAATGAATGAATGAATGAATGAATGAATACATAAATGAATACATAAATGAATAAATCAATCAATTACTTACTAACAACAGACGGGACTATCATTCGATGTACATTTGAATTACTAGCGGCTGTGCATATAATTTTAGTACATTTATTGTAATCATAAGCGCTTATTGTCATCTCGTAAGCAATTTCCGACACGTTTATTGAAAATGTATATCCAGGAGGCTGAGGCAAACAGCCCGAGTTCAATACACAGTCTGATATTAAATTTCCATTAAAAAACCATTGAATGCCACTTCCAACTGTTATTCGGCAAACGCACGTCACATCTGTAAGTGCTGAAGGTCGTGCAGTGCCACAGGCTAATTCAATATCTCCTGCTAATGCAATATAAAATATAAACAGTTGTATTCTTTAAAAATTCTTTAAAGTGTCTGACAGCATCTTATTATAATATAATAAACAGATTTCGATATGTGGGAAGCATCATGAATTTACATTGCCTAGCCTTCACTAATGATGTTGGCAATAATTAAATGAGGTATATATTTTTATTACTAATTAAGGTGGCAAACAATTTTTCTTCTATAGATATTTCACAATTGCAAGCAGTTTTATAAAATAGCCAGTTCAACCGCTTACACATTTATAACAATGAATCTTTCAAAAGCAATGTATAAATGAAAAAAATAACATACTGTTTGTATACAGTGGAGATAAATGACACTTCTATTTATATAGTGAAAAATAACGCACAATTTCAATGTTACAGTACTAAAAGTAGAGCTAATTATAATTTTTAAGACCTTATCTGCGTGACATGATATTTTCCTTAGATATATTATACATAAATAGATATATGTAGCCTTAGAAGATTTAGAACTTTTTTTACAAGACACAAATGTAACAGCAGGTTTATCAATATAATTATGACGTTTGTGTAATTATATTGATGTTTGCTGATGATCTGGTTTTAATTGGCGATTGGCTTAAATTGAGATTATTTTGTTATTTATCTATCTATAGATTAATTTATAGACATGATTAAAAATACAAAGTTTATGATAGTGCATCCATGTTGAAACATTTATCGTAAAGAATACAAGACTGAGATAAACTGTAATGATCACATGTGAAATTATAATTAAATTTGGTTTCATTTCCTACTTTCCTGCCTCCTATTTATTTTCCATTTAAAAGTATACATGACAGTACTGCTCAACACCCCACCCATTTTGTTTTCTGTCTTTGTATGTTTATCAGTCAGTACACTATGTAATTACTTCCTAGGTCCTAGATATAAAATTTCCGGATAAAGAATTATATAAATACTGATCTGCGAAACTTTTTTATCACTTAATATTTAGATACAGGTCTTTTACCGTGTAAGCAGATAACAGGTAGTACGTAAACAATACCACATAATAAATCCGAATCAGATTTGACAAGTTATTTTCTATTATAAAAAATAATATAGAGAACCAAAGAACAATAATTGATTTTGATTTTCTTACATTTAATTAATTCGACAATTCACATCTATAAGCAAAGCAATTTCATCTGAAGCACATTGTCTTTTTAATTTATTTCGGTTTATATTTTCAGTAAATTCCGAACGTTTATTTTTAATTTCATCCCACATTTATTAAGCGAATAAAAAAGAAAGACTAGGGGTTATCCATATAATATTGTTTTGTTCTGTAGATATTTGACGTAATTTTTTAATTGCTGTCCTTATTAGTATTTTTATTTTTCTTCTTCTTATTATTATCTTTATCATCTGCATTGCTATTATTATTAATATCATTGATATTTGAGCAAACATACATTCTCTGCATTCTCAGTATCGTATCAATAATTGACATATTTCTATTAATGCTAAGGATTATTTGCATCTATGCATTAACATTTTAAATTTTAAGTTTAAACAAATTCAAAACTACCTATCTACTTACCATCACTTGCTATTAACAATTGTAAAAAAACGATTGCTATCTTGATATTCATCGCTGAACTGAAATCATATAAAAGACATATTTATTTTGCTTGTAAACACTTACTTGCTGTATTTCTATCTAAACGATTAATATAAATAGTTTTAGTCTATATTCAAAATTGCTGTTATTGTCGGTGTATATTAACTTATTTTATTTTTAAACAGATCTAAACAGAACGTTTTTTTTTTCTCAATTATTGGTGAAAGGGTAACCAATCATACAATTTTACATATAATTTTGCTTGACAAAACATTTTACTTAAATGTACTGTTAAAATTAATTTCATAAATAAAATGAAAATCTTATGAAATATAATAAATATTTAAATGAAATGATGTAACGTTTGTCCGGCGGATGTGTTAAGGAAAGTTGAGTAGTCCTATGGTGACACGTAGCTTGCTGTAATGAAATGTGTTTAAAATTGTTGAAGACGGCAAGTAAGCTTCCGTTGCTCAACCAATAAAAAGATACTTAAAATGGATCTAATTCATATGTGCTTAACATCAGCATACAAAGAATCAGAGTCGTCTCCCTTTGGTTTACCTCAAAATTAAATCTGTCTCTGCTGAGCTGTATTGCAGATATGAGTATCAGAAATGTGATAGAAATTAACCGGAAAAAAAGGCCTATATTGTCCGGACAGTCACTCCACGGCACTTATATGTCGACATTTTTGACGCAAAAACTTGATAAGTGTATTACATATTGCCTTAGGGTTTTCATTATAGGCGGGGGCATAAAAAGAACATCACTTACAATCGACTTTAATGTTTTTCCTTAAACCTACTGATGAAAAGAATAACAGAAAGTGTTTCTCCAGGTTGTAACTAATCTCGATTGATGCATTTTACAACTCTATAAAATATGCTTCTCGGTTTAAAATATATTTTTGTCAAAGATTATACTATTATTTTTGCGTTATATAATATGGGCGTTCTCGGATTTTCCATATAGATATGTTCACAGAATAAAAACCTTTCATAAGAATTTCTTTAAACTTGGCATGTTGTTTGAATATCATAAAAGAAATATCTTAAGCGAAAAAAAAATTGACGAGTTATAGCCACTTTTCTGAACTTAAACTTGGATGTCAGAAGGGTCCTTTTTCAGAAATGAGGAACCTTTTAATAGTCTATCATATCATCCCTATGAA